GAAGGGTTTAGGACTCAACAAGGGTATCTTGGGGCTCCACTGCATAGGTTGTACAACACCCTGTGCCTGCTGCAACGGTTGAGTAACTGATGGAACAGGTCGCTCCGGCGGCACCTGTTGTTGCAGCGGCACTTGCTGCTGCTGCTATAGTTGTTGCTGCGGCTGACTCTGTTGCAAGGGCTGCTGCAATTGTGACTGCCTTGTAGCGGCAACCACCGGTTGGGGAAATGAAGAAGGCTATAAAGGAAACTGCCCACTACTACCTACTACTAGTCCTCCTGATGGAGGTATGCCAAACTGAGGGGAAAAGGGTTGCTCTGCGATGGCAGTGTCATCATTGGACCTGCAACCATAGGGGGAGATACAACAAACTATGGTTGCCTGATCGTAGTCGAGGCGCCTGCAATGCGGTAAGAATCTGGTTCTGACCAAAGAATCTGGTTATGACCAACTATCAGTGCAACCAACATCTCTAGTTGCACAACTCGTACTTCAGCTATACTCAACAAAGAGTTTCGAAGGGACAGCCCTACAAGATCGAGAGTCGACTCATCTATAGCTTCTAACTTGCCTAATTCCTCTCCCCTTGCCTCTAGTCATGGCTTTTCTAATCCTAGCTTTCTCTCTCCTTCCCTCTACTTCCCGCAGCTGGCTCTGTAACTCTGTGCGGAGAGCATCCACTTGTTGGATCTCATAATCCTCATCTGACACGGGCTGCTGCTGGTTGACCTGCAAGCCAACAGACTTACTAACGGAAACTTGGGACACACCCTGACTGACACCTCACGAAAAGGCCTGAGATGAGGCATGTGACATGGTAGAGGCGGTAGCAATGGCTGCCTCGAGGTCGGCTCTAGTTTCTGCTATTCCCTTTCGGCGTTGGCTGCTACTTCCCTAGCCCTTTGCAATGTCGCCCTCTCTTTGACTTCTCTCTGTAGTTTCGTTTCCTCTCCTTGTTCTAACACTACCGTCTTCACCCAAAATAACGCCCGGGCATTGTGTATGAATATAACGCCCGTCGGGTGCTATATTCGTTTATAACGCTCGAGGGTTATATTCAATAAATTTGTGGTAACTTTGGCGAGGCCCCAAAATTCTGCAAAAAAAAATAAATCAAAAAATTATGTAAAAGAAATATGTTGTCCAGGATTGCAATGCGAGAGATTATGCGACCAACTCTTGGGTGAGGGCCACTTCAAAATTCCTTATAAACTCCGAAATGAAAAATAAAAATAAAAAATCAAAACGAAATATACCCCTTGGAAGTCAAAACCCCATTCAACCCCTCTTCAAAACCCATGTATACCCCCTTCCCCCCCCTTTACAACCCATGTATACTACCTCTTCAAGGCACTCTGCTCATGGAACATTCAAATATAACGCCCCAGTGTTCTATTCTAATATAACGCCCGGGCGTTCTATTCGAAGGGGCGTTCTATTTGAAAAAAAGTGAGTAAAAACTGAAAATCTCATATTTTTAGGGTAAGTTGAAAATAACACCAGGGCGTTATTTTCGGGTGAAGACGGTAGGAAAGTGGTCGGCCGACTGAGTGCACGTCTTCGGGTAAGCCTCCTATCGTCTTGGTCTAGTCCTCAACCTCACTGTCATCTCCACTGATGAGCTATGCATGGCCTGCGATCTGTAGTAGTCCTCACTAGGACCTACCACGACATGACATCCAACCGATTACAAATAAAATAAAATAAATGTTTGGTCCAACTTTATTTGAAAGTAGTCAAGCGGTAACAACATATAATCTTATATACGAGCAAACAACTCAATACCTACTTTTGACTTGTCCGAAACAGATTGCATGCAACAAGGAATGATTACTACGTATCTGCAGTTGTCTGTCATTTGTTGGTGTGCATGCAGAATGGAATTTTTACAATAATAAATAATCGAACTAATTACTGGAATCTTCCCTCCCCCTGTATCCTTCTTGAGTAGTTACTTTGTGGCAACGTCCTGAAGCTCTAGTTCAACGGCGTGTCTGAAGGTGTGCAATCGGCCCACCCTTGTGCCCAGGAAATCACTTATGACCAGTTC